CACTTCATAACCCCTTGGTTTCTTTACTTGCTACAAGAACTCAATGGCAAAACAAATTTGTACAGGCCTTGATATTGCTGAACCCTGGCTCTGCTGTACAAACAGTTCCAGTGAGTGAGGTTAGGAAGAACTGCTACCGTAGACCAAGGCTAGATATACTGGCCTTCTTAAACCAGAGACCTCTGGCAACACAAAAATAATCTTGTTAGAATAATATGTATTAGATATTGTAGGTAAAGAGATAGTAGGTAAAAGAGACAGGAGAATGCAGGGAGCAGGTATTTGCTCTGCAGAAATACAGTGACTGAGGGGAGACTGTGATAAACTACATGAGTCAGAACCGTGAGCATCTCTGCAGCACACAGGGTGGGAGCTCAGCTCCAGCAAACGTGGGTTATTTGGGTTCTGCTGCTGTTATCAGCTTGGCAGCCTTCAGAAGTGATGCCCGAGCTGTCAACATGGTGCAGAATTGTTTTCAGCTTCTCTGAGGGCAGGATGCAAAGAGAAGAGAGCTGTCTTTCTGCAGCTTGCTGCTGGTCACTGCCTGCTGCAAATGTGGGCTCATGCTCCCTCTCCACAGCCATCCAGGGGCTTTGGGGCTGGGGCCACTGTGCTCCAAGCTGGCAGGGAATGGCTGGAGCACAGCCCATTGCCTCGCTGCAGAGGTGGGAGATGCTCTGCCTCTGGCTCAGCCCCTGCTCACACAGCTGCCATTCTCCTCTCCTGCTGTCAGGGCCTGTGACTGCGAGGAGCCGATGCTGCCCTTTTGCCCGAAGCTGCATTTCCTTCCCCAGGTTAAGGGACTGTGTGCTAAACTGCTGCCGCTCACTTTCCCCAGGAACATGTTTACCAAGGAAAGATGCACTGCACATTCCCCTGAGCTTGGCTTTGTGTTCCAGAAGGCCAGCAACAGATCCAAGACCATCCTTAGGAGCTGCCAGCAGGATGGGACCACCTGCCAGCACCTCCTGGCCCCAGAACAGCCAGAGGAGCTGTTCTCTGAGGAACTGGTCATGCAGGAGGATGAGCCCCAGCCAGGGGCAGAGCCCCAAATTGAAGATAGGACAATTACAGGAGGAAATGACAAATGGAATCCACAGAAAACAGAGCTGGCAGTGTCTTGGAATACCTTACTGCTTATCAGGCTGCTGCAAGGCAGGATTGACACTGGCTGTGTCATTTTGGACAAATCTAGCCAACTTGGCTTTTTCTTGGTTTTTTTTCTGTAGCTATTTATACAGCACTATCTGTTACTGGTTGCTCTGCCAGTGCCACACCAGGCTCACCATGACCCAGGAATACCAAAGGAAGGCGGATTTCAGTGGGGTTTTGTTCTTTCTGCATGAAGCATCTGTAGTGAGGTTTCTTCATCAGGGCAGGGAGGCTGGCACCCTGGGGTCCTGACCTGAGGCTCCAACAGAAGCACTCCACAAGCTCCAGAGCATGCCACCATGTGAAAGCTCTCCAATGAAGGCAAAGGATAAAGGGATACTTTCAGCCTCCTCTGCTTCGCTGCCTTGAGTCTGAAATATGGATGTAGTTTAAGCCCTATTTACAGCATCTGGTCCATGTCCATCATGATGCAAATTGTAGCATTCAGCAAAGCTTCTGCCATAAAACAGGAATGTTTTAATAACCCTATTTGATGCTGATGCCCTGGACCCCCACTGCCTTCCAGCACACCACACAGTGCAGGAGCCCCAGCTCCATGCAAATACTGGAGTACTGAGGGACACCAGCCAGAACGTGCATGTTCTTGAGATGCTGGCAGGTGCCACTGTGCTGGCTCCCAGAGCTGTGTTGTTGTGCAGCCCATCTTGGGGCCATCTGAAATGAGCTCTGAGGCAAAAGGAGGGTGTGAAAGGAGGGCAGGGCAGGAGGGAAAGCCCTGCCTTACTGCAGACTCTGGTTGGCAGCACACTGGCTGGGTGGTTGGTATGCCCTGTGGATTTGGCTCTGTGCTTTACCTCTGTAGGTGAGGTCTTTCATGGTTTCCAGAAGGAAGGAGGGATTTGGGCATGCCCTAATTAAGGGAATTTCCTGGGCACCCAAAGCACTGAGGGAAAGGAAGAAAGGTAGTATAGTACTAGAGAGGCCTGGGGCAGCTTGAAAAGGATCCCTGGTCCAGGAACTGTGTGAGGAAAAGAGGAGGGAGAGAAAAGCAGAAAAAAACCCCCAGGTTATGGGCATAAAGACAAGTTTTCTCAAGGGAGTGGGGCCATGAGGGTCCCAGCAGATGAGTGAGCTGGGAAGAAGAAAGGAGGAGAAAAGGACATCAATGCACCAGCAAGAGCAGTGCCACTGACTGCATCATGGCAACATTCAGGGAACGTGGGCAAATCTTAAAGTTGTAATGTTCAAGAAAGAAATTCTCTATATATTTAGCTTTGATTAGTAGTAAAGAGCACAAAGGTCTTGCATCACCGAGACAATTAATTTTCTGAGAATCTAACACATCCAGCATTCCTAAAATCTAACATTAAATGAGGAACAAACTAACTCAGCTGAGCCAGCTTGTGAATCAGCCACGAGTACAGCATCCCTCTGTTCCCCTTCACTGTGTACAGAGCACAGCCTCCACGCTTCTGAGGCAGCTCCTACAGGAGATCTCAGGTAGATGGGAGCAGTGCAGCCCACAGGAGCCCTTGGAGAGAGTGTTGCCTTCCCTGTGTCTTTGGCTAGGTAAAAGAGCAGAGTTATAATGTAAGGGGTGTCAAGCCACAATTTTTGGACTGTTACTATCTCCCAGAGGATGCCCAAACTCTCCTTTTGGTTCTCCAGCTGATCTATCCACCTCTCCTGCCCAGGCCTGAGCACCCAGTGAGAGGAGCATGTCCTTAGTCTGGAGACATCCACCAGCTCCAGGTTCAAGCTCTCTGAACCTGGAGCACGAGCAGTGGTTGGTGCTGGGTGGATGATGGTGTCACAGGATACCTGATTTCAGAGCTGTGCCTGGCCAGGCTGTGCTGGCCCTGGCTCACCCCAAAAGCACCGTGTCACACAGGCCAGACCTTGTTTACAGCCCCTGGAATGGTCAATCAGATTTACACCTCTGATCCTTGGGCTCAGAAAACCTGGCAGCACCCAGCTAGATCCTGAAGTGTAGAAGCAGGCACCAGCCTCGGTCCCACCATTAGCATTTTGGCATTGGTCTGCCAGTGACCAGGACACAAGATCCATTATTTGCTGCCTCTAACTCCTCTGTCAGACAGAGCACCTTAACTTTGCAAGCCCAAGGCAGTGGGACTGCTTACATGGAAATTATGAACCAAGTTGTAACTTCAGATATCCAACCCTGCCAGCAAGTTTCATTTTCCAGCATCTGACAACTCTCTAGGAGCTTCTTGTTTGATTTTTCAAATGCTCCAGCAGTTTGTCACACCTTATGGCCAAGTCTGCTTTTTCTGCCTTGGAGTAAAATGGAAGGAGCTCATCACAAACTAACACCAGCCCTTTGCTGAGAAAAAATGTTTTACACACAGCTCCTGAGGATCAGCTGCTAGTGGTCAACTGCTAAAGGCCTGCTGGAGAAGAAACTGGTGACCTGCTGGTCATGCCCTTCCTGATTTTTATATAATAACATGGGTACTAATAAATGGGGTCTTAAGCTCAGGAACTCCCCTGGGCATAAACCTAGCTTAGGTACCATCCATCACCTAAACTGGAAGGAGCTTTGTTGCTGAGCCAGGGACCAGGCAGGGATGAGCACCAGTGTCTATGGAGGGCTGTGCCTTCCCCTGTTGATGGACCAGCAGCTGAGGGTGTCCTGGGGAAAACACAGGAAAGCAGTAAATCCAGCTTGAATGATTGTCAGCCCCTGATGGTTTCATCACTTCAAATTTACATCAGGTTCTAACAAAGCAGTGATGGAAGAATGGGGTTTTCTCTCTCCTTGAGCTAGATGACATGTGTCCTTGGGGGGAGACTGCATCTCCTTTTGCCATGGGAGCACAGGGAGTGTGCCTGGCCCTGCGCTGCAGTGCCGATGCCTGTGGGGCTGCGTTAGAGACAGTATCACAGGAACTGCTTTCCAGAGACTGAATTTAGGTTTGTGTAGGTGGTATTTCCCAGCTGTGGGTGTCTGGAGTTGCTACCTTCCCACAGGGTTTCATATGTGGAATTAACCCCTCCACCACCAAACACCGAAGTCAGAAAGCCCTGCAGGGCTGGTCAGGGCCACTGCACAGAGTGCCCAGCCCATGGTCCTGGCACCCTGCCCTGCCATGGGCACCCAGTTCCACCAGGGCTTGCTCACAGCAGAGGACTCCTGGGCTCCATCTTGTGCTTGAGAGGGAACATCCCCAGGGGGTGCCAAGACCTGCTCCTAGCTCAGCAGCACTCCACTTCCTTCAACTCCCCAGTGATGTCAGTCTCTGGTCATTCAACCTGTCCCCATTTCCTTGCTCTCCTTCAGATCAATCACCCCCTATCCTCACCTACTGTCCCAGTTTTTGCTGCTGGTTTGTTCCCTCTCTGCTTTCTTTGCCATTTCCCATCTCCTGCCAGTCAGCCTCAGGCTCCCCAAACCTCAGGGCTGAGTGGCCTGACACCATTTCACACACCCAGCACCAGGTAGCCCTGGCCTGAGCATGCTTTGGTCATCAGTGGCTGGTTCGTGCCACCTGCCCTGGGTTTCAGCCTGCCACTGGGACTGCAGAGCTGCAATATCCCCTGCTTCTGCTCAACAAGAGCTTGGCTGGCTCTGGAGAAGCTTCAGACAGACAGCTGAGTAGGATTTTTAAAAGTCTTAAAAAAAAAAAAAAACTTCAGCAAGAAAAATACTTTTAAAAAATTACCTGTATTTCTAAAATATAGTGTATCTGCTTATCCATAAAACCCAGGAGCCTGGGTCATGCTCTGAAGCCATTTAAACTTCAGGAGCAGGACTGCTCTCATGCACATTGATTTTCTAGAAGTCCAGCCTCTTCTAAACTAGTTGTCAAAATCCACACAGGAGTGAAGTCCCTTGAGAAGACATCTTCCCTTATCCTGAGCCCTACCTTGGGTATGAAGCTGTGCCTTTCAGGGATGTGTCCTCTCCCGCTGACCAAAGGAAGATTTCAATCCAGGCACTTTGCTTTTCAGCCACTGAAGAAGAAAGATTTCAAATGGTACATTGGAAACTAATGCACATGATTATTACACATTTTTTGTTTCCTAGTAGTTTTTATGTGTTATAAAGAATTTATGATGTTACATATTCATGCCCAACCAGCAGGGCTATTATTTTGCACAACCCTCACAGTGCCCACCTCACTCCAAGGATATCCCACGTCATGTGGGGCAGTCAACACCCCTGTCTTGAATACTTGTTGTCCTCCCTCGTGCTCTTGGGTCTCAACACCAGGCTTGCCTGGTTGTGGAAACCCCAATCCATCCACAAGGCTCGACAGCTGCAGATATTCCCTTGAGCTGGCCTTGGACATGTGTCCCAGCAATGACCATGTGTGGTGGCAAGCTGGTAAAGAAATGTAACTGCACAGGGGTCTGCCCAGCTGCTCTGCTGAAGGGATGCTCAGGTGCAAGGTCATCATCCTGCTTTTGGGTGGTGAAGCATCCAAAGATGCTTCTTTTAGTATGTTTTTTTGTAATAATTGTATCTCAGTAGAAATTACGTGCTGAAAACTAAGGAAATGGCAAGGTGCTTACCCTGATTAGCAGGTTTCATTGGTTACTGTGTCTAAATTTTATGACTGGAAATGAAAAGCTGACTCATCCTCCCTGGCTACCTTCAGCACTGATGCAGGAGTTTTCTGGCTTTGCTCTGGAGGCATGAAAAATACCAGGTACAATATGAATACAAAAATCACCCAGAGAAACAGCCCAGTAACAAATAGGGAAGCATTGCTTTGGCAAAAGCTAGACAAGAACATTAGGAAATAATTCAAACTATAACAATCACTATTGAATGTCTGGAAAGATAGTAGAAGTGCAGCATTATTACACTCTGCAAAACTTGAGGTAATTTGTTCCTGGAATTTGCTTTGTTTCTCGTAGTACTAATGTCTGTCTAGAATTCCTCTTGCAAAAAAAACCCAAAAACCAACAACAACAAAAAAACAAACAAAAAAAAAACCCCAACCAAAAAAAAAAACCCCCATGAAAACAACAACAACAAAACAACAACAACAACAAAAAACCCAACCTGCAAACAAAGGTAATCAATGACTCCAACTCAAAACAACATGACACCCCCTGAGACAGAGGAAGCCAGGAAGGCTGGCTCTGGCTGCTGGTGGCAGCAGGAGCCCTGTGCCACCAGCTGGAGGCAGCCCCCAATGCATCCTGCCGCCACAAGGTTAGGGGCTGCTCACGTAGGATGAGCTCTTGTCTCCATTTCCAAGCAGCTGCATGAAAAGAAGGACAGCAATGGCCTTCTGACCAGGACACAGCTAGGTGGGAAAAGGAGGCTCTGGATGTCCAGCAGGAGCTGCCCCAGCAGCTGGCAGGGGACAGCAGGGACAGGGAGCACACAGCCCCTGCCAGGCCAGCGGGTGTTGGCTGTGCCGGGCGTGCTGCTCACAGCCACGAGGAGCAGATCCTGCAGATCACGATTAATGCTCCCAGGCATGTGAGTGCTGGATGCAACAATTAGAGCTGTGGACAGTTTTACCCTCTCTGCCAAGAGCAGAAAATGGAAGTGCTGCAGAAGAGTCAGTATTATATCCCCAATCTCCTTACTTAATAGTGGAACAAAATGTACTTTTATTCCTGAGCAGTTTGCAGCAACAAACTGAAGCTTTCTTCCTATTACCCCAGGGTGCTTTCATTTGTTCTACCAGCCCATTCCCTGTCAGTCAAAGGACATACATTATTAATGTATGGACTAAATGCTGTTCTCACTCATCCCTGTGCTCTCAAAAGCAGCATTTACATGAAGAAGACAAGCAGGATTTGGCCCCAAGATTTTAATCATGTCACTCTAATGAATTGGTTTAACACAGACTTAAACTGAAAGATTTTTGTTCTGATTTTTCTTGGGTGTTTTAATCACTGAAGGGGTTATTGTTTGGCTAATTTAAACCACCATGGAAGGGAATACCCAGGTAGCTGCTTGAAGAATTACTCCTGCAGATCTGTCTGAAATGGCAAGAGATTAAGGCTCAAAATATAGCTTATTAAATTGTGATTATAAACAGCTGGGATTTTTTTTAAGGGAAAATGTACATGCAGGAAGAGATGGCACCTACAAATTCAATTACAAATTTTGAGCTAATCCTACATCTGAAGTTGAATCAGCATCCAAAGCATGTTTTTGTCAATTGATAGGCCCATATCAAGACATACATTAATTATATTTATGCAGAGCCACAGTCAAGCTGAGCATATCTAGCACCTGACTGCTTGTGCCCAGAAAGTAATAATGCTTTGGAAAATACAGGATACAGTAGAACACACATGAAAACTGCACTTTGGATAACGGAGAGGACTAAGGCATATTAATGATCCTAAGGGGATGCTAAAGGGAAAATTAATGGCTGCAAAACAAAGACCAGCTCTTGCCCCAGTGTCCCAAATGTAAGGGCTGGACTCAGCAAGTCCTGATCCTAAGATTTTTTCAGCACTTGAGCTGCACAGGTGGGATCCCTCACGTGGAATTTACACTGCCCACTCTCACTTGTACACTGTGCTGAAGAGAAGGGCAGGTGGGCTGGGGATTCATTTCCTCTCACACAAGGCAGGTGCCTCTAGATAGAAGGACGCTAAATGAAAAATAAATGAGATGATGAAGCACAAGAAAGAGGAAGAAGTAAGCAGGTTGGGCAGGAGATGCTGGAAATTCAGCAAAGCCCATCTGCAAGGTGTTGTCAGTTCAGGGTTCACTGAGGGTAAAACCAGAGTGGCAAGCCTTGACCTGGGAACTAATTACATTAAATACATAGTGTGAAACACACCCAAGGTTTTTAAGGAGCTGTCTGGTTGCTCACTTCAGAACAAGGGCTGCTTATGTTCACAGTGGTTTTAAATGTAGGGAGAGCAGGGTTTGGGCTGCTCCTCTCTGGGTTAACTCTTTACCAGATGCATATAGCAGTAAAAAACCTACCTGGCAGTAAAAACCTGTTGACTGCTATACTGTCAACTGCACAGCAAGCAGTGAATAGAGGGCATCGTGTGGGGGTGGCTCTGGATGTGCAGCTCTGCTCTCTGCCCCATTTGGACCCAAGTCTTGCCCTTGTGTCTCTGACTTGCCAGTTCTCTTGTCACTAAATAAGGCCACATGTGTGATGAAGGGCTGAAAAGGAGAGGGCAACATGGCAGAGGAAATGTGGTCTTCAAAAAAGATAGATGAACTTGAATGCTAAGGGCCAAATCAGAATTAAAAAATATATGGTCTGCAGAGCAAAGACCTTGTGGAGTAAACAATTAACTCAGTGAAGATGGAGCAAGGGAGCCTCTCTGCTGCTCACAAACAATGAAGAACACAGAGAGAAGGAGAGAGTTGTTTCAGCATCTATCAGCTGCAACAACTTCTGTACCTGTTCTGAAGGGGAAAGACTTGTCAATGTGACCTGAGAAACGGGACAGTGTGTCTGTGACCACCATGCATTTGGGAAGTCTGGCCATGGAGCTGGAAGCAACTGTGGTGGGTGCTATTTGACACCCCACTGGTGGATGCTGCAAAGACAGCTGGGAAGTGCTGGGAAATAGGAGAGAGATGGGGAGGATAACAGGAACAGCCTGACAGCTGCTACCAGCTTCTGGGGTGCTTCCTGGCAAAGCAGAGTTTTGAAGGAAAGAAGTGAGGTTGAGAGTGAGGAGAGGAGAATACAGGAAACAGCAGGTGAGGACAATGATCCTTTGGGCAGCTCTTTGCACTGACACTCTCCAAGAGTGTGGAAATGAGCAGGGCCAGTATGTGAAGGCTGGATGTTAGAGGGAGGGGTGCTGCACAGAGGACATGTCAAGGACCTGGAAAAAACCACTGACTAAGGAAGGCAGAAGAACTGGCAATATGTCTAACTCATACAGAGAGATCTAGATGGAGACCCAAACCAAACCAAGGGCTCATGGGCACTCCAAAGGGACATGATAGTTGCAGCAATGCAAAAAAGATTAAGGGGTACAAGCATTGTGGGCAAGAGGTTAAGAGTTTTCTTTCAGGAGTACAGAGCTACAGCTTTTGGTTAGACATCCATTTGGAAATGTCAGAGAGAGTGGCTATGATTCATTTCACAGTAAAGAAGACTGAGAAGTTGTTGGGAGTCTAAATGGTAGCTCGTTTATGTTTTTGTAGAGGTGATTCATTCCACAGTAAAGAAGAAGACTGAGAAGTTGTTGGGAGTCTAAATGGTAGCTCGTTTATGTTTTTGTAGAGGAAAGACTTAAACAGCTCTCATAGAAAGCTGGCTGGAAATGGGGATAAAGAAAAGACTGCTGTAAGAACAGAGAAACTAGAAAATGGCAGTGGTCAGAAGACAAAAAATGTTTACAAGTAATGTTGGTTTTGATAGGTCTTGCTAAATTAAAAGAAGGACTGTTTCTACACAATATGAATCCAGAGATTAGGATCCACCTTTAAAAATAGGTGGTATTTACTATAGCTTAAGAAAAACAAGAGATGCCTTCCTCAAAAAATAAACAATGTGTCATGCACTCTGAAATCTTTAACTAAGAAACTGACCCAAGGGTGACCACTGAGATTATTTGTTTAATGTCTCTGCATATCAATTTGCCCGAAGAGTGGCTTGAGACAGACCAGTCTCAATCATCTCAAAGAATCTTGATTTTAAATTAAAATCTGCACCATCTGTTTCATTATAATCTGCTTCCATTCACTTTCCAAGGGGATAGTGACAGCTTTACTTGTTTTAAGAAACTGGACAACTAACCTTCAGGAGGAATAACATTTCAACACTTTCTCTTATAATCAGTTTTAGCAACAATGGCAACAAGCTCTTTGTAGAGCTTACATCTGTCCAAGAGCCAGGACCTCTTGCAAAGAAAACTCTAGAAAGCAGCACTTTTTGGCTGTGAAGTTCATAGGTGACAACACTGTTTTTTTGGTGGAACTTTTCAATGTTCCCATTTTTCTGTTCTAGTCTTCTCCTGAATGGAGACTGCTTTCATTGGGGTTTCCTGTTCATTTTCTCCCACAGAACTTCCTGGAAATGGAAGGACTTCTGTTCTCTCCCTGCCAGCTCTACAGCACGTTATCTGTGGGAGTCAAATTCTGGTCAAAAGCAGCTCATAAACTTCACTGCTGACAATGAAGTCAGCATCAGTTTTGTTAAAGTTCCCATACAGATTTTCTCTTCCTGAGACACCAATTATATACAAGCCCATTCAATTGTACTTGAAGAGATGAATATCTGGGCAAGGAGTGCAGCACAAGGAGGTCTGATATAGACATACCCACAACAAGGAAGGATGGAGGAGAAAAAATCCCCAAACACTCAAGCACTTAGCACAGTCATTACCACATTAGTTAGAGGGATGGTGTGTCAATACTTGCAATGTACCTGTCATGGGTGC